TCTGCAAAGCGCTTCTAGGAGGAGAATTATGGGAATTTTTTGTAGCATAAATTTGCGCTTGCGATTACAATAAGTTCAGCCAGAGCTGTAGTCTGTGAGTTTAAAGGGGTCATGATGCCAGAAAGTCATGCAGTTAATATCCTTTACTAATAAACTCGTGCTTGTCATTACTTCTCTCAAGCGCCGAAAAGACCACAAGATCTGGCTTAACCAAGCTTTCAAATTTATACCTCAAAACATTTTGATTCACCCTCCAGAGGAGCTCTGAAGATAGCGAAAGCAAACTTGGAATCAGCGTTTCATGCTCCATGAGGCAGTATATTTCATATGAAACCACCATGAGCAATATCCTTTTCTAACACTGCCATAGTTGATCCACTAGATTCACTTCATCCCTTCCTTATTGGTCAGATCGGTGAATTGATCAATAACAAAGTTTATCAACTGGGTCAAGTCATTTGCTTCGCTGTTCGTCAGTTCACTGATTCGGCTAAAACGAAGCGGATGAAATGGATCAGCAATGGTGTGTGCCTTACTTGTTGGTTCAGCCTCAACTGTTCACTGAGTTCGGTAGATGGAGTGGTTAGCTTATGCGCGGGAATAGCAGTTGTGATCTTACCAGTCATAGCGGCTACTCAAAACTTGCTAAAAACAGAAGTCATCCTAGGTTTTTCAACGCATATTAGTGGTGATCGGCACGATAGTTGACCTCCGCTATACTCGCGCCATTATATGCCTACTGCCACAGGGTGCGATCGTGGCTGGCTGGCTTGAAGGCAGTGTATCACCTCTCTTACGACGAGAAAATTCGTCTCAATATGGCGCGCGAAGCGCTTTTCGGCTCGCGCTGAACGGCATGTCGTTTATCATGTTGCGTTTTGACACGTCTTTCCAGACGACGCCTTTTTTTTGACATATTTGATCTTGCTGTCGAAGCTAAGGTAAAGCAGGAAATCGGTCCGCTTCGGTTCTGGGGTTTCGCTATACGGGTTGCTGAGGTTCTCACGCGGATTTGAGCCCTTGTAGGGTTATACAAGTTCGGAGCGAGTGTAATTCGAAATTTCTAGATAATTTTTGTGAAGCAATGCCTCAAAGTAACGTTTGAACCTCGCAACACGCGATTATCTTTGTTCTTTTTTCATTCTGATCCTAGTACATACCCGGCCAGCGCTCACACTTTTTCTGGTCCGGAGTTATTTTCTAGACGGGTGTTCATGACCGCACCCTTACTGGGCGGTTGGGAAGCCTGCGCCAAGCAGCGCCATTGGTCCTGAGGTGCTACAGGAGCTGCGACGCTGACAGTATATACCTTCGCATTTGCTTTGCGGATATGACGTAGAGTTCAAGTTTTGTTGATTCCTCACTTATCTAGGTTTTGGCTTCAACGTGAAAGGTCAAGTCAGCGAAGGAGGACAGTTGCGAAGTTTGAATGGTCAACTGTACGCTCCTCTGCAACATGTCAGCGCAGTGCTACCTGATGGTGCTGCTGAACGTGCAAACCTACGTAGAGGCGACAGGATTCTGCAAGTGTATGTATCTCTATGATTCATATTTGTAGCAACATGAGATTTCTTTATCTAGGAATGGTGTCAATGTAGAAGGAGCAACCCATCGTCATGTAGTCGATCTCATAAAACACGGTGGCGATCGCTTAACGATGATAGTCATCTCTGTTGAAGATTCCGAAGTTGATAAGTATGTTTTACACTTTCTAAATTCTTATTTGTGCACTTCTGCTGTCAGTTCGAATTACACCTCATGTCAAATCAGCTGTCCGCCTTGATTTACACATCAACACACGCGAGCATAGAATGTGGGGTCCCAAGCGCTACAAGCTTATTGCGCGGGACATTGAGCGTGGTCCTTCTTGCACTTGTATTTTTGACAACTTTTGTTGTTAGCTAAAAGCTCTAACGCGGGGAAGATTGATCGAAATGGTGATTTCATATGAAATGTATACTATCTTTTAGAGCTTGTAACGCTGATCTCAAATCTGCTTTTTTATCTGCAAAGAGGTTTTGGGAAGGGAGTTAGGGGAATTTTTCGTGGTAAGAAATCAATGATTTGGTTAAAGCAAAAACCGGTAATCTTCTTGACGTTTGAAAGGAGTATTGACCAAAAGAGTTTATTAGATTTACGGTATTTATCGCACAAAACGCCCTTGTAATAATCATGGCCCCATTTGTGTCCTTGGACTAAATTCTGAATGATTTTTTT